TAACGATTGACAGTAAAGCCATAAAGACACAAGGGGCTACTGAGTGTGAAAGAATAATACAAAAGTGAAATATTATTAAAGAACGAACAATAGAAGAGTAATCAAGAGGACAGCAGATATCGATTGAAGTATAAGATACTGAGTGTGAAAGAATAATACAAAAGTGAAATATTATTAAAGAACGTGAACAATAGAAGAGTAATCAAGAGGACAGTAGATATCGATTGACAGTAAAGCCATAAAGACACAAGGGGCTACTGAGTGTGAAAGAATAATACAAAAGTGAAATATTATTAAAGAACGTGAACAATAGAAGAGTAATCAAGAGGACAGCAGATATCGATTGACAGTAAAGCCATAAAGACACAAGGGGCTACTGAGTGTGAAAAGAATAATACAAAAAGTGAAATATTATTAAAGAACGTGAACAATAGAAGAGTAATCAAGAGGACATAGATAACGATTGACAGTAAAGCCATAAAGACAAAAGGCTAATAAAAGAATAATACAAAAAGTGAAATATTATTAAAGAACGTGAACAATAGAAGAGTAATCAAGAGGACAGCAGATAACGATTGACAGTAAAGCCATAAAAGACACAAGGGGCTACTGAGTGTGAAAGAATAATACAAAAAGTGAAATATTATTAAAGAACGTGAACAATGAAGAGTAATCAAGAGGACAGAATAATTGACAAAAGCCAAAAGACACAAGGGCTACTGAGTGTGAAAGAATAATACAAAAGTGAAATATTATTAAAGAACAATAGAAGAGTAATCAAGAGGACAGTAGATAACGATTGACAGTAAAAAGCCATAAAAGACACAAGGGGCTACTGAGTGTGAAAGAATAATACAAAAGTGAAATATTATTAAAGAACGTGAACAATAGAAGAGTAATCAAGAGGACAGTAGATATCGATTGACAGTAAAGCCATAAAGACACAAGGGGCTACTGAGTGAAAAAATAATACAAAGTGAAATATTAAAGAACGTGAACAATAGAAAGTAATCAAGAGGACAGTAGATATCGATTGACAAGTAAAAAACAAAAAGACACAAGGGGCTACTGAGTGTGAAAGAATAATACAAAAGTGAAATATTATTAAAGAACGTGAACAATAGAAGAGTAATCAAGAGGACAGTAGATAACGATTGACAGTAAAGCCATAAAGACACAAGGGGCTACTGAGTGTGAAAGAATAATACAAAAGTGAAATATTAAAAGAACGTGAACAATGAGAAGAATAATCAAGAGGACAGTAATATCGATTGACAGTAAAAAACCATAAAAGACACAAGGGCTACTGAGAAAGAATAATACAAAAAATATTATTGAACAATAGAAGAAAGAGGACAGTAGATATCGATTGACAGTAAAGCCATAAAGACACAAGGGGCTAAGTGTGAAAGAATAATACAAAAGTGAAATATTATTAAAGAACGTGAACAATAGAAGAGTAATCAAGAGGACAGTAGATATCGATTGACAGTAAAGCCATAAAAGACACAAGGGGCTACTGAGTGTGAAAGAATAATACAAAAGTGAAATATTATTAAAGAACGAGAACAATAGAAGAGTAATCAAGAGGACAGCAGATATCGATTGACAGTAAAAAAGCCATAAAGACACAAGGGGCTAAGTGTGAAAATAATTACAAAAAGTGAAATATTAATAAAAAGAACGTGAAAAGTAATCAAAAGAGGAATAATAACGAAACAGTAAAAATAAAAGACAAAGACAATAATATTAAAGAATAATACAAAAGTGAAATATTATTAAAGAACGAACAATAGAAGAGTAATCAAGAGGACAGCAGATATCGATTGACAGTAAAGCCATAAAGACACAAGGGGCTACTGAGTGTGAAAGAATAATACAAAAGTGAAATATTATTAAAGAACGTGAACAATAGAAGAGTAATCAAGAGGACAGCAGATAATTGACAGTAAAGCCCTAAAGACACAAGGGGCTACTGAGTGTGAAAGAATAATACAAAAGTGAAATATTATTAAAGAACGTGAACAATAGAAGAGTAATCAAGAGGACAGCAGATATCGATTGACAGTAAAGCCATAAAGACACAAGGGGCTACTGAGTGAAAGAATATTACAAAAGTGAAATATTATTAAAGAACGAACAATAGAAGAGTAATCAAGAGGACAGGATATCGATTGACAGTAAAGCCATAAAGACACAAGGGGCTACTGAGTGTGAAAGAATAATACAAAAAGTGAAATATTATTAAAGAACGTGAACAATAGAAGAGTAATCAAGAGGACAGTAATATCGATTGACAGTAAAACCAAAAGACACAAGGGGCTACTGAGTGTGAAAGAATAATACAAAAGTGAAATATTATTAAAGAACGTGAACAATAGAAGAGTAATCAAGAGGACAGTAGATATCGATTGACAGTAAAGCCATAAAAGACAAAAGGCTACTTGAGGTGAAAAGAATAATACAAAAAAGTGAAATATTATTAAAGAACGTGAACAATAGAAGAGTAATCAAGAAAGAATAATTGACAAAAAGCCATAAAAGACACAAGGGGCTAAAAAGAATAATACAAAAAGTGAAATATTATTAAAGAACGTGAACAATAGAAGAGTAATCAAGAGGACAGCAGATATCGATTGACAGTAAAGCCATAAAAAGACACAAAGGGCTACTGAGTGTGAAAGAATAATACAAAAAGTGAAATATTATTAAAGAACGGTAAAAGAGTAATCAAGAGGACAGCAAATTGACACAAGACACAAGGGGCTACTGAGAATAATACAAAGTGAAATATTGTTAAAGAACGAACAATAATTGTAATCAAAGAGGACAGCAGAAACGATTGACAGTAAAGCCATAAAGAACTGTGAGTGAACAATAGAAAGAACGAACAATAGAATTGTAATCAAGAGGACAGCAGATATCGACAGAAAGCCAAAAAAATAAAAAGACACAAAAATGCTATTGAAAGAACGTGAAAATAGAATAATAATCAAAAAGTGAAACGATATTATAAAGAACTTGAACAATAAGAAGAGTAAAGAATAAAGAAAGGAAATATTAGAACGTGAACAATCGAAGAGTAATGACAGTAAATAACCATAAAGACACAAGGGCTACTGTGAAAGAATAATACAAAAGTGAAATATTATTAAAGAACGTAACAATAGAAGAGTAATCAAGAGGACAGCAGATAACGATTGACGGTAAAGGGACTTATGAAAGACACAAAAGAATAATTAAAAGTGAAATATTATTAAAGAAGAGAGAACGAACAATAAGAAGAGTAATCAAGAGGACAGTAGATAACGATTGACAGTAAAGTGAAATATAAAGACACAAGGGGCTACAGATATGAAAGAATAAGACAAAAGGCTACTGAGAAAAAATATTAAAGAACGAAAAAATTAAAGAACGAAAATAGAAGAGAATCAAGAGGACAGCAGATAACGATTGACAAAAGCCATAAGACACAAGGGGCAAAAACAATAAAAAGGCTAAGTGTGAAAGAATAATACAAAAGTGAAATATTATTAAAAAACGGAACAATAGAAGAGTAATCAAGAGGACAGAGTAGATATCGATTGACAGTAAAGCAAAGACACAAGGGCTACTGAGTGTGAAAGAATAATACAAAAGTGAAATATTATTAAGAACGTAACAATAGAAGAGTAATCAAGAGGAGAGTAGATAACGATTGACAGTAAAGCCATAAAGAACAAAAAGAGAATAATAAAAAATGAAATATTATTAAAGAACATGAACAATTGACAATCAAGAGGAAAGATATCGATTGACAGTAAAACCAAAGACCATAAAAAGACACAAGGGGCTACTGAGTGTGAAAGAATAATAAAAACAAAGTGAAATATTATTAAAAGAAATATTATTGAACAATAGAAGAAGTAATCAAGAGGACAGTAGATATCGATTGACAGTAAAGCCATAAAAGACACAAGGGGCTACTGAGTGTGAAAGAATAATTAAAAAGTGAAATATTATTAAAGAACAACAATAGAAGAGTAATCAAGAGGACAGCAGATAACGATTGACAGTAAAAAACTTGAATAAAGACACAAGGGGACTAAGTGTGAAAGAATAAGAAAAAAGTGAAATATTATTAAAGAACGTGAACAATAGAAGAGTAATCAAGAGGACAGCAGATATCGATTGACAGTAAAGCCATAAAGACACAAGGGGCTACTGAGTGTGAAAGAATAATACAAAAGTGAAATATTATTAAAGAACGTGAACAATAGAAGAGTAATCAAGAGGACAGCAGATATCGATTGACAGTAAAGCCATAAAGACACAAGGGGCTACTGAGTGTGAAAGAATAATAAAAATGTGAAATATTATTAAAGAACGAGAACAATAGAAGAGTAATCAAGAGGACAGCAGATATCGATTGACAGTAAAGCCATAAAGACACAAGGGGCTACTGAGTGTGAAAGAATAAGAAAAAAGTGAAATATTATTAAGGAGAGAGAACAATAGAAGAGTAATCAAGAGGACAGTAGATAACGATTGACAGTAAAGCCATAAAGACACAAGGGGCTACTGAGTGTGAAAGAATAAGAAAAAAGTGAAACAATGCAATTATTAATCCGAAGAGTTGGAATTAATTCATGAAAGCAGTTCAAATATCACTCCTTCATTGTCAGCCTATGAATTTTTCAGCCCACCCTCCTAGCTGGAATGAAACAATAATGTTATTAATAAGAAGAATTGAAATTAACGCATGCAAGATTTCACAGCTCTAGCATCACTTCTTCATAGTGTGCCTGTGAATTATTCAGCCTATCCACGTCTGGCGCTTTATATTCTTTATGGACAATTCTAATGTGTTTCCCAGATGAATGAAACTTATCTGGATTAAAAGATATATGATAGTGAAAAATGTGTTATTTTTATATTTTTACATATTTTAGTTACCCTATAGATTTTTTTTTATCTCATTGTGCAAAGATTATAAAAATTCTTCTTTTGATGAGGTTCGATTATCCACAGCTGGGTTTTGAAAGAAAGAAAGAAAGAAAGAAAGAAAGAAAGAATATTAGATCAATATGAGAAGAAGAAAAATCATAAAAGAAAAGAATATTAGATAAAAGAAGATTTTTGAAGAAGAAGAAGAAGAAGAAGAAGAAGAAGAAGATAAAGCCTAATGCTTAAATCCGTTAGGTATATCACGCGTTGTTTTCCCTTGTCTCTCTTTCTCTCTATTTGACTCGTGAGTATCAGATTCCTCCTTGTTTGCAGCCTCTCTAAGACCTCATCGTTTCTCACTCGCTCGGTTCATGATATCCTTAGCATCCTTCTGTAGAACCACATCTCTGTCGCCTCGATTCTCTTCTTCCCTCTTTGAGGAAATCGTTTTTACATTCGCTTGTAACTAACCTGAAATGCAGAATCTACGGAAAATATGATGAAACTTCCGATCATATTATCTTAGGATGCCCAGAACTAGGACATAACAAGGTAGTGACATATGTGCACTGAAAGATATGCAAGAAGTACAAAATCGAAACCACTGAGAGATGGTATGAGCACCAACCAGACACAGTTACTCAAAATAATAATGTAACTATCCTCTTGGACATACCAATTCAATCTGACAGGAAAATAACAGCCAATAGACCTGAAATTACCATGAAAGACAAGAAATTCAGGAAGTGTTTACCATCTAAGAGAAACACCTCCATGAAAATTATCCAGAATTTTTCCAAAAGCAAGGACCTGGAGATCGGGATTAACAGAATGTGGCGAATTGAGACTGAGTCTGTACCAATACTAATCGGAATCCTGAACAATTTTACTAACAGTGTTCCAGGTAACATCAACATACAAGTTGCCCAGAACGTCGCCCTACTAGGAACATCCCATAATACAAAAAAAGTGCAATCAGTTAAGTGACAGTTCTCCTATAGTACTTAAAGGGCCATAGTTTGAACTAGGCTCTACAGGATACATAGCTGGAAACCAACACAAATAATAATAATAATAATAATAAAAAAAGTATTAAAATACAATGACCTTGAAATCGAAATCTCAAAATGTGATACATAAGGACATCAACAACTCCAGTTGTAGTTGGGGAACATGTCCAGTACACTCATTGAAGGGGTTCTTGGTAGCCCATGTCTTAAAGAAATACAAAACATTGCACTCACAAGTACAGTATCTGTCTATATTTCTGAGATGAGGTATTATGTCCACTATTTACATCATTCAGACTATTCTCCTCATCTTTGTCGCCATATTTATTACAACGTTTCGTTCGTTTTACGCTCAGGCCTTCTTCAGTATCTGTCTATATTTCTGAGATGAGGTATTATGTACATCGGACTATTGTTCTCATCTTTGTCACCATATTTATTAAAACGTTTCGGCCTTCTTCGGGTAGTTGAAATGTCGAAATGAAGCCTTTATTTCGCTCACTGGGGTAGACTGTTCTAGTTCCACGTGCCATGTTTAATGTATGTCAGTTATTAGTTACCTCCTGTTAATTTCCCTCTCCAAGTTCTCCACTGCCTTAACCGGGTATTGAACTCACACTGTTTGGGCCCTATCACTGGATCTAACCAACGCCTTTATCCACTGTTATATGTGTCCTTGAGGACATCTGTTTATGAATTTCTGGGTATTATAAAACTAATGTCTCAGAAACCGTCTTTTTTACCAGTGCTTATATTGCAATTTTTGGTGTTATTATTGCTTTTCTCTGGCACTCCTTATTACTGGTAATAAGGAGTTCCAGAGAAAAACGATAACTGATATCCATTAAACATGGTACGTGGAAGTAGAACAGTCTACCCCAGTGAGCAATATAAAGGGTTCAGTTCGACATTCCAACCACCTGAAAAAGGCCGGAGCGTACAACGGCCGAAACGTTGTAATAAATATGGTGACAAAGATGAGGACAATAGTCCGAATAATGTAAATTGTGTTCACAAGTACAGATCATACCTTACGAAGCGCTTTCTCTATGGAAACTCTGTATGAGCTTTCTTTTTTTCTCAAAAAATGCTCATTAGAAAATGTCATGATGGCATTACTGACCTTAGGTCTTTGGTTGGGAGCCGGAAAAGAGTATACATCAGAAATAAAAAAAAAAATAATAGCACGGATAGATTACCATAAAGCCTTTGATAGTGTGCCACACTCTTGGATGCTTAAGGTTTTGGAAATGTACAAAGTCTCCTCGGTGATGGTAAATTTTCTTAAACTGAGCATGGGAACGTGGAAAGCAACATTATACCTAAATCGCATCAAAGGCACTGCCACTTCCAACCGCCTGAATATCCGACGAAGAATCTTTCAAGAAGACATCCTGTCACTCCCTGTCACCCATTCTTTAATAATAGCTATGAGTCCAAAGTAAACAAGAAAGTATTTAATGGCCTACTCTACATAGATGATCTCAAACCCTTTGCCAAAGACACAATGAGTTGAAGGGTCTCCTCAATACTATAAAATGTTTCAGGGAAGACATAGCTATGGATTTAGTGTTAGTTAAATGCGCAAAAGTAACATTTAAGAAAGGGGGAATTACAGAAACACACTCAATAGAACTAGATTTTGTAATAAAGATTAGGAGACGTGGAACAAGAAGAAGCCTATAGTTACCTAGGAATAAGCGAAGGAGATGGAATATAGCATACAAAAATGAAGGAGAAATTAAGAAAAAATATGACAGGCGTCTTCATCTAGCGTTAAAAACCGAGCTGAATTCACAAAAGAGAATTTCAGCCATAAACACTTTGGCTGTCCCTGTGGTGCAATATAATTTCAACATCCTGACATTAAGGGAATGGACGCCAAAACGAAAAAAGCTTTTCACCTGCCATAGTATGCATCATCCTAAGGCTGATGTTGATCAGCTATATGAAGCCAGATCCGAAGTAAGAAGAGGATTAGTTCAATTAGAACTGTCTTACAAATCTATAGAAATCGGTCTTCAAAGCTACCAGGAAACTATAGAAGACTGGATGAGGATTTATGTCAAAGAACATGAAAGAAGTAAGAAAGTGTATTCAGTAATAAAGAAAGCCAACAGATTCAAAATGTAATTTCAAGTGGGTGAAGAAGTGCAAATAAAACATAACACACCTTCTGCAGCGGCATAGAACTTAAAAAATGGAAGCAAATGCAATATAACAAATATAGATACAAAGGAACCAAGAAAGTATTTAATCACCTAATCTATTTGAATGATCGCAAACCCTTTGCCAAATACAACAATGAGTTGAAGGGTCTCCTCCATACTGTAAAATGTTTCAGTGGCGACATAGGTATGGATTTCGGATTAGATAAATGTGCAAAAGTAACAGTCAAGAAAGGGAGAATTACTAAAACACACTCAATAGATCTAGATTTTGTTACAAAGATTAGGGACCGGGAACAAGAATAAGCCTATGAATTGGCGAAGGAGATGGACTACAGAATAGCAAAGTGGTGGAGAAAGTAAAAGAATACTACAGGCGAGTCTGGTGTTGGATACCGAGTTAAATTCACAAAACAGAATATCAGTTGTAAACACTTAGTCTGTTCCTGTAGTACAATACAGTTTCAGCATCTTTAATCGAACCATAGCTAACATTGAGCGTATGAATGTCAAAACGAGAAAGCTTCTCACTTGCCATTGTATGCATCGTAACAAGACTAATGTTGATCGTTTGTATGTGTCTAAACCCAAAAGAGGAGGTGGATTAGTTCAACAGGAATGGTCTTACAAAAACGCAACAATCGGTCTTCAAATATACCGGGAATGTATAGAAGACTGGATGATGATCTGTGTCAAAGAACATGAAAGAAATAAGAAACTTTATTCAGCAATGAAGGAAGCCAACAAATTGAAAACGGAATTTCAAGTGGATGAAGAAGCCACTTTTAACATAATATTAACTGAAATCATGCTTCGTAGAATCTTTTATGTCCGTTCAAATATGTCCTATGCGCAAAAATTGGTATCGATTCCTTGGGGACTTTACACTAGTGTCTCAAAATTCAACACTAGCTTTGGAGAAACTGGATGTAAATGTTATATGTGATCAAAAATCATTCTTTTGCGCAAAAGTGTCACAAAATTGTAGCAGTTTTAACAATTCGGCATTATGTTATATTAGGAAAATAGAGATTATGGAAATAGTTTTGCAGGGTGAGGAGATTTTGGAAATAGCATTGTTGGAGGCAGAGATTATAGAAATGATTTTGTTGGAGGAAGAGATTATGGAAATGATTTTGTTGAAAGAAGACATTATGGAAATGGTTTTGTTGGAGGAAGAAATTATGGAAATAGTTTTGCAGGGTGAGGAGATTTTGGAAATAGCATTGTTGGAGGCAGAGATTATAGAAATGATTTTGTTGGAGGAAGAGATTATGGAAATGATTTTGTTGAAAGAAGACATTATGGAAATGGTTTTGTTGGAGGAAGAAATTATGGAAAATAGTTTGGAGGAAGAGGAGATTTTGGAAATGGAAGAGATAGATTTTTGTTGGAGGAAGAGATTATGGAGATTTTGTTGAAAGAAATGGTTTTGTTGGAGGAAGGGAAGAGATTATAGAAAAATGTTTTGTTGGAGGAAATGGAAGAGATTATGGAAATGGTTTTGTTGGAGGAACAAGTTATAAAAACGGTTTTGATGGAGGAAGAAATTTTGGAAATAGCTTTATTAGAGAAAGATTATAGAAATGATTTTGTTGGAGGGCGAGTTTATGGAAATGATTTTGATGGAGGAAGAAATTTTGCAATTTGTTTTGAAGGATGAAAATGGTTTTGTTGGAGGAAAAGATTATGGGAATTGTTTTGTTGATGGAGGAGATTATGGAGATTGATTTTTTGGAAGATGAGATTATGGAAATATTTTTGTTGGATGAGGAGATTATGGAAATGGTTTTGTTGGAGGAGATTATGTAAATGCCTTTTTTGGAGGAGTAAATTATAGAAACGTTTTGTTGGCAGAGGAAATTATGGAAATGGTTTTATTGGAGGAATTAATTATGGAAATGGTTTTGTGGGCAGAGGATATTATGTAGATGTTTTTGCAGTCAATATCTGTGTCCTAGGTTAAGTTACTGAATAGAATAATCACACGAAGGTTGGTAATAAACGATGATACTTAGGACAAGAACAACACATATAAGATTCGCCAGCGGCGCGTAGAAAAA